GATTTTTAAGAGTTTTTGTCAAATACTTTATAATATAATATAAATAATATAAGTTCTATTTTGCTTAATTTTGAGGTTATGATGATAACGATAAATATTTGAAGTTGTGGAATATATAGGTGACAAAAAAACAATGCAATTGGTCCTTTGAAACCATGGATGAATATTTACCAATTTCCAAAGCACATGATTAATAAATAATATATTTTATATGGATCTTAAATCTTGAATCATTTAATAAAATCAATAAAATCTTAATTATACGTTTAAGACGTATGTATAAATATGATTTATAGCTTGTACTCTTAGTTATTATAGCTAAAGATTGATACAAATAACCACAAGGGTGATGCCTGATTGGTTTGAGCTTGACTCCAAATGTCAAAAGTACAAGGAGGTCCCAAGTACAAATCCAAAGAAGAATAAAAATCTTCTTGTGGTCACGAATGTTCAAATGCGGTGACTCCGAGCTATCTACAAAGTAGGTGGTCGTCCTGGGAGGGATATCGAGGTTAATAAAAAAATAGATTGATACATATAAAACCATGACCCCCATTTTTTTCGTTTATTATAAATTTTTTTGATGTACGAATGTTCGCTTAATATACATGTAAGTAATTCTATTGTGTTGTTTGATTGGTTGTTAGGCCTTATGTTTCTGGATCTTATGAATATATAATATTTCATTTCTTTATGCTTTTTAATCGACTTAAATTAAATAACCGTAAGATCGATTTTATGCACCAAAATATGTATAAAAGATCCATTTTCTTGGTACGATTTGCATAATATTTAACAACGATTTTTTCGATTGTTCCAACATTTTTGAGTTATAGCTAGCAACTTTCTTAAAGTTATGTTAATGCTATTGTATTGTTTTTTTTATTAACATGTATATCTAACCCGTTATATGAGACGATTAGTTCCAGAACGACCACCTGTTTTGCAGATAATCCGAAGTCACTACATTTAAACCTCCGTGGCCACAAAGGAATTTTTATTTATTGATTACTTTCTAAGGTTTTGTGTATAGAAAGTTGGCATTTTTGCATGATATTCCATTTCTTTGGGCTTTTTAGCTAGTTGAGCAGCTTACATAACTTTGGGCTAATACCCATTTCATGCACCCAATTATAGGGTATGTTTGATACATTAAACATCGTAACGGAATAAAATGAAGATCATAGTTCTATATTTAGTAGGACTTTTATGAACAAAGAGGAATAAACGTGTTTTACCCCTACTCCACGGAACCAAGCTGGAAAAAGATAGAACAAACTTATGTTTTACCAATATAACCTCAAAATAAAAA